GGATTTGGATGCCAGTGAACAGCTACCTCGGGTTTGGTGCAGCCCATTCGCATCTCCCGCCCACGAGCGCATTCGAACGCGACGTGACCTCCGTGACATCGTCCATCGCCTTCGCAGCCTCTCAGTCGCGCCACGTGTTTCCGAGCGTGGGCTTCTGGGTTTCCGCTCTTCATCCCAGTCGATGTCCAGCTTCCGGAGACAAGACACCCTGTCCTTGCGTTCTGAATCAGCGCGTGTCCGCCATTGCCTGCGGTTTGCCCTCGCCAACGAGCTGCTCCCGTCCTTCACGGTACAGCGTCTGTCTCCTCTTGCAGTCGCGTCATTGCCGTCCTTCCGACTGCTCGTGCGCTCCAGGTGTCGGAGTTTCGACACCCCGTCTTCGCGTTCCCCGTGGACACGTGGTCGCCATCGTCTGCGCTTTGCCCTCGTCAAAGAGTTGCGCCATCTCTTCAAGGTACAGCGGTGTTCTGCCTGCCCACGTCTAGGCCGTTGACGACAACTATCTGGGCTGGCATTGGGGCACATTGCTGCCGGCGCATGACAGCCGCCGAGGCGCGACGCGTGTCGCATGTGCTGGGAACGGCTATCGATGAAACTGGGGCACACGATGTTTGTGTTTACTATTCTTCTCAGTCTTTTTTTTCGTCGCCATCACCCACATCATTCCTGCTGGGGTTGAGGTTGGCATTGGGGCACATAGTTTCTTTCTTTTCTTTTCTTCTCACTCGTTCGTTCGTCGCGATCAACCACCTGTTGATCGTCGGGGTTGGCAATAGGGCACATGGTTTCTTTGTTTCCTTCTCAATCGTTCGTTCCTCTCGATCTACCAGACGACTTGTGACTCCTCCACGTTCCTTTTCTTCCGCATCCACACGATGTTCAGTTCGGCAATAATAGGAATAATCAACAACCCTCTCCAACTTGGCTAACAATTTGAAAAATACTCAATGTTTCGCACCTTTTTTTGTATCATCAACGAGATCCAAGGCTGGGCAGCGGGGCGTACTGAGAGAGCAGGAGAGACAGTTGTTGCGACGGGTGCGGTGGAAGATAAGCGGGTGCCACGTGGGCTGCGCGCGACCATGGTCTGTTTTAAAAAACGCGCTTTGGCCTTCGAGCGGAGGATGCCGATCATCCACGTGCCGCTCACCACGAAAGCGCGTGGATGATCAGCACGCGCTCTACGGCGCCAATCCTGGGGGAGCTGGTGTCGTCTCCATCCGAAAGTACGTGGACGATCAGCGCACGCTCTTGGCGTTGGTCGTGCGCGATGCGCCACCGCATTGCGCACGCCCAATGCCACGTATGTGCGCACGTGCACATCATCCATCCGAGAGTCGAGGGATGATCAGCGCTCGCTCCTGGCGCTGGTCGTGAGCGATGCCATGGAGCATTGCGTACGATTAACGCCAGGACTGTGAGCTCCCGAGCAAACAATGAACACGCTGCGTGCGCAAGATGGAGAACAACGCCACTGCTCGCTGAAGTGTGGACGGTGTTTCTTCGCCTTGTGCGCCGCGTGTTTCGTGGCGATGGCCTCGTTGAATAACGAACAACGCCCGTGAGAACACACCGCTTGATTGTTGTAGTTCGCCCGTATCCGGACTTCCCTTTCCGCCTGGTATTCCTACCCACCATTGCCGTTTTTTGGTTGGCGGTTATTGGTTTCGCGCTTCCTGTTGCAACGGCGTCCGTGAGCGCCTTGAGGGCGACAACACGAAGTTCGGATCCCAGCGGACTTGCGGTTTGGCACTTGCCATGCCGCAAGCTGCTTAGGTGATTCTTTTCGTGTTCCTTCCGACGTGCGCTGTTCTGACCGCATCGCTGAAATCACACGCAACCTGCCAATGTGCGTTGTTCCGACGGTCTGTAGGGGTCTTATGGGGGTAATGCCTACATTGCATTTTTCTGGGTCCCAACCGACGGGCCTTGGCATGGTGTCGCCGCAAAAATACACAGATATAGCATCGCCCACAGCAAAAACAAAACAGTTTCTTTTTGTCAAGTTCGGATTCGAGCGGACTTCGACGTTCGCCGTTTATTTTACCGCCCTTACCAACGCCCTGCGCTTTAGCATGTGTTTGGTTGTCGGACACCGTTGGGTGCGCAAAAGTGCCAGCCTTGAGAATTGCCTTATGAGGGTTTAAAGGGGGTTGAGCAACA